TAATTTAATAAATTTTAAATGCTAATCTTAAAATAAATTGTTTATAATATTATTATTTTTAGCTGAATAATTACGTTTTATAAAAAAAAATAATTATTATTATTTTTATTTTAAAATTTTTGATCGATAAACAATTTTATTTGTAATATATTTACGTATGTCGATTACTCATATAATAATATACAGACTAAAATATTAAATTTAATATCATTGGTACAATATCATTCATAAGTCCATAAGTTATATAATACATTGAAAAAATAAAATAAAATAATATTAATTAATTTAATATAGTTTAATTACCTATTAGATTTAAAAAATAATACTTATACTCGTACTAATTAATCATAGTATAATATGTAAATATATTTTAAAATATTTAACAGTCATTTAATATTCTCTAACCCACGTATTCGTTAACGTACCGTTATTTATGTTTTAATTTATTACTATTTATATTTTCCATCAAATTTACAATTATTTTAATAAGTTCAATGATTTTTAATAAATATGTAACTAAATTTAATTAGATATATTGATCTAAGTAAATTAAAAAAATGTACATAAATATATTTGATAAAGTATTGAATACATCTACAATTAACTTGTTTGTGTAATTTATAATCTAATAATATATGAAAATGTACGAGTATGTACACATTTTACGAGAAAAACAATTAAAAAATTAAATATTTAACTAATAATAAAATATTTATAATTATTGACAGATTTGAATAAGTAATACAATTTTGTAATATTTGCAATGTATTAATTTAAAATATAAATTTAACTTTTTAATTATATATACTAAAACCTTAATAAAATGTTAGACAATGAATTTATAATTCAATATAATATTTATTTATTATTTTCTTCCATAGGATATAATAAACAACAATTTTAGTTCTAAAAAAGTATGTTTTGATTATTCAAAATTTTAAGTTTTTCATTTTTTTTTTTTTTTAAGCTCCTTTGATAAATTTGGTTACTTGTTCAAATGCTAAATTTAACGTTTATTAGTTTCTTAGCTTATATTTTAATTTAAAAAACTTCAGTTCTCAGTAGTTTTTATGACTATCTACGTTTATGGTAATTACAATTTTGTTTTACGTATTTATTTTTTTATTTTTAAATATAAATGAATGATCAAAGAAAACATAAGTTTACTGTTATACTTAAATCAGAAATAACCAAACAAAATTTATATCTGAAAATGTGTTATAATATTAAATTTTTTTGTTTATAAAATATATATTATAGTATTGTAAATGGTATTTAGGTAAACATACAACTTGAAACACTCGGTAGCAGTAATATAATAAGACGTATTTAACAGATGCAATCATTAAGAAATTTTATCATGCATATTATATGTAAAACATACATATGAATACACTAAATAGGAACTTACTATACATCAGAGCAAGTTCTCTATGCTTATTTAGTTTGTAAATTATATCGATAGCTTTATTAACTATATAATAACCTAATATATATTTTATATCAATGTACAATATGAGTATTAATTTATTTCTCGACAAGCGAAAGCTAAGTTAATCTATTTACTTAACAAAGTGTCCAGAACAGCTTAGGCCTTGAAATGATTATTATTGCATTTAATTTACTTTGTATAGACAACAAGAGTATTTAATGTTATGAAATTTTAACATATCAATCAACAATTTTTCAGTTATTCTCAGATTAGCCATGTAATTCAATTTCAATAAATAGCATTTTTTATGCAAATAACAAATAAATAAGTTTATCTCGACCTTTTAGTACTCAGAGTAAAATTCAATTCAATAAGTGGATATTAACATACTTAATTATGCATACGGTTTTAAACTTTCAAAAATAATAATAGAAGCACTCAATAAATTATTATAAAACGTGCAAACGTAATTAATTTTTTTAAATTTTTTTAAACATATTACATAAATTCAGAATTTATATGACTATATGTATTGGCTAATTAAAAAAAAAAAAAACAATGTATATCCAAAATCTTTGTATTAAATTGTATTATATTGCAACATTATTTAACATTTATGAATTTATCCTGTGATAATATTATATTTATTTCTGAGAAAAAGATTTTTTTTTTATTAAAATAAAATATTACAATTACAACTTATAACACTTACAAATAACAAAATATTTATTCGTTCATTTCGAAGAACGAAAATTACTTCACGGGAATGTGGATAACTTATTGTAAACTGAATATTTTCAGATAGTTTCTTTTTTAATTTATAAACACCAATATTATACAGCCCGCATCGAATTCCATTTTTTATTTTATTTCAAATAATTTATAAAAAAAAACTTCATATTGTTTTCTTTTACAGGCATATTATAAAGTTTGAAATAAAAATATTGAAAAATAGAGTTTAATGCGGGCTACAAAATATTTCTCTTTATCAATTAAACAAAAAAAAAAAAAAAATATGAAATTAGGTGATCTCATTTTATTTTTAAATGAATAACTACTATGAAAACTAATAACTATAACTGAGTTATGAAAAAAGGTAAATGAAATAATTTGATTGATTTAGTTTACTATTCTATTGACATTGAAGCAAATACGGTATTTACCATGGTTAATTAAGGCTTTTATAAACTCAATTATTATTTTTGACTCCTCACGAGATACTCTATGAAAGGATTATTTATAAATGGCTCCAAACCAATACAGGTATTATGCCATTATTGTCATCTTTTTTTTTTTTTTTAAATTGAAATCTTGATAGCTCTTAACCCTTCTTGCTCCGTTTCTCAATCCTACTTCATTTTTATTTCTTTGTGAGCTTATAGATTTTAACTTAACGATAAAAAAATTGAATGCAAAATAATACAAACATTTAAAATTATTAACATTTTAGATAAATATTATACACGCATTAGTGATTAGTGTAATACCTCATCAAATACATATTTTCAATTGATCTCTTTGTATATTTCCACTCAACCATGATTTCCTTTTAACTTTTACACTATAAGAATTGCCATGAAAATTATTCAAATAAAATTATTATGAAGCTTATCATTTTTACTTTTTTGTTTAATACAGAAATAGGTTTTAGCAACTTAATCATTGATTTACAATATATTATTTTCTAGTTATAACAATAGTTAAACAATAAAATAATGTAAATTGTTATTATTTTTTGTTTATATTATCTGCATTCGGCAACAAGGTGTTTGGCTATTTTTCAGACTTCACGAGTTGAACATTCAGTTTGATTTTCTTTACTAGTAAAATAACTGTTCGTGTATCTAGCACGCTTATAATCCTTAAAAGAGTAACGATTTTCACATTTCTCTTATTTTCTGAGTAAAGTTTGTTATTATTTTGTTTAAATTGTAATATTATTAATACACCTTAAATTACATTTTAAACGCAGTGTTTTAAGTGTATTTAATTTCTATACCAGTATTTTCACGTAGCCTTTAATAACATTTGTTAACTGTATCTTATAAATAGGCAATAGTGATATTATAATATCCACGGTGTTTCATTGCTATTATTATTTATTATTTTTGATTTAAGATTGCTTAAAATGTTGTAATTAATTAAACTTTTTACAGAGCTAAAAATTACATGATTTTGTGGTTGTAGATTATATTTTATATTATCAAAGTTTAAAAAGACTACTGTAAATATGGTACAGTTATTATTTATTTTTGTGTTAATTATGAATTAGTTGTAATAATTGTTATTCTAATTACATTGCGATTTTTGATGTGTTGTTGTAAATATATATTTTAACACAAGAGTTATTTGATTGTTTTATAATATAATTATTCATATGTGTTTGTAGTTGTACTTTTTTTGGTGTAATTGCCTAGGGAAATTAATATTTTTTTATTTTACTTTTTTTTATTTGTCTTCCATGATAGGTTTATCATTTAATTTTATAAGTAAATAAATGTATTAATTATAGCTATTTCTGCATGGCTTAAACCTTATTAAATGTAAACTAAATATATTTTAACACATTGTTTTATATGGTTTTGACCAAATATAAAATACAAGTCTAAAATTATATATAGTATAAAAATTAACTTAATTTTTATAAATAACAACAATCCTAAAAAAAAAAAAAATATTTGTTTTTGTGAGTCGATAAATCTCTGCGCGAGTCTCTGATTAAAATGTAAAATTCAATATAATTAGCTTTCAGGTACATATCTTTAGGTATACAATTACTGATGTATTGAATTTCAAAATAAAGACATAAACATTGTCTTTCATAATATAGATTATAAGTGTATTATATTTTATGTATAGGTAACGTTTAAAAATCGGTAGACTAATTCTATGTATTTAAAACCTTTTGAATATTAATAAACTTTGTAAAATGTACGAAAATGAATACGTATTATGTATAAATAATTAAAAATGGTGTTGAAAAAAAGAACAGAAAAGTGAAGGTATCGTATTAGGCATTTACTGAGATATTATATATATTTAGTTCGATTACTTATCGAATCTATGATTATTAAAAATATGAATTTACTCTAGTATTTCACCAATTGGTGATGTAGACACCTCTGTACTTCTACATCATTCCAATATAATATAGAAATCCGAATATATGTAAACGGAAATTTCTTTTGAAACGTCCTTTTGATAAAAACAAAATTAAAAACAAAATAATTGATCGCTTTCACGTGCGTAATCGGTTCTATTATTTAGAATAATAATAACAAAAAAAAACCGTGTGATTTACGGCCGTACGCTATGGTCCCCAGTTACACACATGCATACACACACACATGAGTGCGCGCGCGTACATCCACATCATACATACATGTTTAAATATATATATATATATATATATATATATATTTGTATAAATGTTTGCGTGTGTGAGAATGTATATTTATCCAGCACCAGCGCACTTCGAGCTGAGGGTAGTTAACGGTTTCACGTTCACCCGATTCCCACCGACTACGCGCGCTCCTATCGCACTACCGACGCCGCCGTCGTCTCGGGGCAAATAGACCAGTGACTAATTCGGAGGCATCGCGGTTCGACTGGGATACCTCGTGATATCTAACGGTACAAGTCTTCACAAATGCCGTCGTGATTATAATATTTAAGTAACCTATAGTTGCGCCATTCAACTCGTAGTCACCGCGGTTTTGTGTACGTTTTTCGAGCATAATAATATTATAGAAGAGATAAATTTAATTTACTATCATCTCGACCGGACCCTTTGTGCCGTTAATACAACCTCCGTGTACATTGTCGTATTTATTCTGATCCTTTTGGATTGTTAATCGTATTTTATTTCATTTCTTCCGACAGCTTGGTGTGCATAGACCATAAACCATATTGTTGTTGTATACTACTCGGCGATTGGCCGTCTCATCACGGACAACTGCCTTTTAAGTAAAAAAGTGCTGGGGGATTGAATTCATTTGGTAAGTATACCGTGACAGTGTACTTTAGACTATAACGCCATAGAGCTGCGTACACATATTACTACTTTTAAGTCGTATTATTATTATTGTTAACAACCCAAATTATAATTAAATGCGTGTGATGTAGCCAACTTCTATATGTTTTTTGTCTAACGTAAGAAGAAGGTCAAGTAAAAATTGATACTTGAAATATTTTATATTGATATCTAATGAAACTGTAATTAATAATACTTTTCGACTACGGTGAGACAAGTAGATCGACAAAAATAAACTAAAATCTTATACACGACACTCTCATTGTATAAAGCTCTTCTAAAATTGGTAGCAGTCTGGTAGTTATTAATTTAAGTAATATTCAAGAGAGGAAGATACGCATAACCGTATAACGGCGTAGAGTTTTGTGCGAAGTAACGTATAATATATTGTCGATGGAAAAAAAATTGACCTGTCTGCCGACCGATAAGAAAAATCTGAGAAATGTTTATAGTTCTCAACCGATGTTATTAGATATACACGTATTGTAATATTATATAGATGATGCTGTTGTATTTGGTGATAAATCGTTACGCAACTTTTTAGTGTTTCAGTCTTATTGCGGTTAAACCGATGGTGACGCTACATACCAATGTAAGCGGAAAAGAGACTTTAAAACCACTGTTCGTTTAAACAAACAGGAAGTACAGTCGTTGATTTGCTTCCTAGAATATTGTGTAATCCGGTGTCTCTTTACGGATTGTTCGATTTAGTTGTAAGCAATAGCGCCTGTCATCGTAATATCTTTTATACGGTTGCAAAAATACGCAACACTAGTAGTGAGTAGCTGCTAACCATGTTTTACGTTTAAATTATTCCTCATGACAAGGGTATTGTAGATACGTGTATATCAGACGGTTATTATTTTATTTATTTGTTTTTTTTCTTCATCCTGTAAATACTTTTTTTTCGTCAATTTTTACGTTTCATTTTTTGTTATTTTTAAATATAAACGTAGTTTTTTTACGGCACATTTCACAACGTATTTCAAACGTTAATTTTTAAGTATTCTTCAATTAACTTATATGTCTAGCTAAATATTATAATACAGGTATCCAAGTCTTTAAAATTCATTCAGAAAATCAGATTTATTACTACTTTTTAATAAAACTGACAAATGTTAGTAATCAGAACTTTTAGTTGTAAGTTCATGATATATATTTTATGTGTACAAATAATTATTTTAAATTGACATATCATTATGTACATTTATCCGCAATATTGATTATTTTCATTGTGAGATTCTTCATATAATAAATAAAGTAAAATATTTACATAAAAATGATAATATTTTGTTAAAAAAAGTTTCCATGTTTTTGATTTCACGTCTGACTATTACATAACTCACACTAAGTATTATATTTACAAAACTAAAATTATACTTCTGATTATTATTACTCAGATTCAAAACTTTAAGTTTAATTTTAAAAGAATAAAAACTTATAACTGAAATCAAATACTATCAAGCCCATACCCAAACTTAAAGTTGAGTAATGTATTATTTTTTTTTTATTTGACTCTAAAAATAATTTTTTTTTTTACACCTATTATTAGTAAACATTGATTTAAGTCAAATATTTCATTATATTTTTTGTAATTATTTTGAAAAAAATAGAAAATACATTGTATATTAAAATAATATATCTAAGTATTATTTATAAGTAATATTGTATACATATTTTTCATCTTATTTATTTTTGAAAATGTGTAGAAGTATGTCACTATAACATTTTAGAAATAATTGAACAAATCATAATATATTGATGGATTCAGACAAATTTAAAACTAATGGATATATTTTAACAACTACGAATTATTAGAAATTAAATAGAAACCAGCAAATTAAAGTGTGTTATAATCAACCTAAAATAAATAATAAATCATCGAATTTAAAACTTAATATCAAGCTGAATTAGGTATGCTAAAATCACCAGTACTGAGATTTTTCATTGAGTGGTTGACAAGTGTTGGCTGGCGTTCTTTGATGAGCAATAAAAAATAAAGAAAAATTAAAATTTTTATATTCAGAGAACTAAATACAAGCTATTATGATTTATAATCTGTATAATAAAAAAGAAAACATAGATATCTAAAAGAATCTTTTTTATCCTAGACTGCGTACCTGTTGTACAATTGAAATAATAATTATTAAATTGGAACTAAAATATATATATATATATATATATATATATATAAACAATTATTCAGCAGAACACACCTCTCACGTCAAAGATAAGTTAAATTAGTACTATTAAGAATGTAAAAATCAAAGACGTTTGAGTTATATAAATTATATGTTAGTATGGTAATTTTAACATAATAAAAAATATTTAAATTCACTCGCTTTTATGTGTTTACAACTATGTGATTTTCAAACTGTTATCTATTACATTTTTTGGAATCTAAAATACCTAAGTTCTATTTCACGTAGCAGTCACAATTATAAAACTTAAATCGTTAAAACTAATTGGATAACGTTTATTAGTTATCTCATAATGCATTTGTAAAGAATGTTATAAATTATCGTGCATTAAATAACAGTCTTGAAAAAATAAATTATTAAATTAAAGTATCAAAACACATTAAATTAAGTTAATTTACGGTCATGCTCATGTTATGCTTATATTAAAATATATAATTTTAAAAGATTAAAAATATGCCACATGATTTATATAATTGTTACGAAATCAAAGTTTAATTTACTTTAAGTGGTTGTCAGCACTTGACAGACAGTTGGGAATTCTTACTAAAGAGTGACAGCTACTTAAAATAATTTCCTCGTTAAGTATTGTAATAAATACCATATTTTCTTGGAAATAAATTCAATGAATCCAAAAAAAAAAAAAAAAAAAAAAAATATGCGTAGCCCGAAAAATTATATTTAACACCTTATTTCATAATTTCTATACCATCCATAACAAGAAATCGTCAAATGGATGATATTCCATTTGGTATTATTTATGGTTCAACTATTAAGACGTAGAATAAATATTAAGGTTACGGTTATGGATTTGAAAGATACAATTATTTTATAAAAATTAAATTATCGAAGATAAATCTTATAGCGCGTTAAAATAATTTTATAAAATACATATTATAAATGTATATAAAAAATAAAATACTCTCAATAATAATTTTTAAAGTCTTTTATTAATTTAATTCTTATTACAGAATAAATAGTAGGTATTTTTATGTTTTGAAGCTTTTTTTTATTTATAAATTAAATCTACAATTTATACCACTTGGGCGTAATAAATAAATGTGATATAATGTTTTTTATACACGTTTGAAGCTTAAAACCTTTTTTTAATGCATTGTTAATAATATTTATATTGAAAAAAGTCAATCACTCATCAACATGCAATAAGTTTATATCATAGAAAAATGTAACTAATTAACTAATAGTATTTAATGTGGTTTATTTCACATAAGCCCATATTCAGGTTTTATATTAAGGTTAAATTGCGGGTACTCAAAATTAAGAGCTATTAGAAAAAGTTGATTGACAATAAGATTTACTACCCACAAAATATTTTATAAACATTACATTTTTATAATTTAGGATAAATACGTGATCACTTCACGTTAAAATAATATACGAAAAAACCAACATATCTCAGTTTATTGAACCAATCTAACATATTATTATACATATATGTATATATTTTTTTTTTTAATGCCGTATGTTGGATTCTTTTGTAGAATCTATGGTTTTGAAACTGCTAGTGGAATTCTAAGCGAACTGGCATGATCACATTCTGAATGAACGCTGGTAGGGAATAAGTAATGCCCTCCAGACAATAGGGCTTCAATATATATTGTATAATATGAGGTTTTTTTATTTTCTTTTGGAATCAAGTGTTTATCTAAAAGAAAAATAAGAAAACTGGCTAACAACTCGAAAAAAAAAAATATAAATATAACATAGTAAAAGTAAATTGCATTACCAACACAGTTATAAACACGTCATGGTAATTACATAATATAAGAACAGCATTTTATGTATATTATTATCATATCACTACTACATATCTATCAAACTATTTATTATTTATTATAATATTGCAATAATTATTTAAGTCAGTTTTATGTAAAAATGCATTAATTGAATATACAAATATTATGTGCTATAATTCACTAATCTAATAAATTTATTGATATGATGTACTATTAAATCATATAATTATGCATGTTTATATTTAATATAATACGCATTATCATAAATTCTATTTAAATCCTAACTAATTTAATTTCAATACCTATTGCTTACATTTTTTTTTTTTTTTTAAACAAATACTCTATAGTTCGAGTGGAAAGGTATTTAGTTAGGTTCAGTCATTTTCCCGGGACTTAGTAAAATCCGGTTTTGGGTAGGTTCGATTTATATTATAGTTTGGAACTGTAATAGAATATTACTCTCTGTTTTTGAACTTTGTGAGAACGTTAAATAAGGATCGAATCAAAACTATCCACAACAGAGTTTGAAAGTTTGGTTACAAGTTTTCATAATGCTCGTACATACAATATAGTCATAGATTTTATAATATTAAGTGTACAAAAAATAATTATCAAATAGTTACTAAAATGTATTTAACCCTATTTTTATGTTTATAGTATATTACATATGGATAAAAAATATTATTATTAGTTATAAATATATTTAATTTTAGTTAAATTTAGGTTCTTATAATGTTTACAACTTAGACAATAAAAATATATTAACTATTAAGCATTTTTGTCATTGTATTAATAACTTTATAGTATATTGGTGAAATGTGTATCACATTGAACAAAAAAATATCATCTAATTAATAAAATAATTAACAGTAGAAGTTGAGTTTAGTTATAGCTTATCATACTTGATTTAATTTTTTAAATATTGCGGATAGTTTTTTTTATTATCCTTGAAAAAACTATCGAGAAAAATGAAAAATTACATTTAAAAGTACAATTTATAATTTATTCGT